GGTACTATTTTTCAGGTTGTTATGGTAGTGATGAGATGGTGAAAAATTCAAATTCGCTGTTACACTAGTTTTCTTCAAGAGTTTATGTGGCTTGGTTTTTATTCAAGGTATATGAACAGTTCATAAAGCGATGTATGACGCTTATCATTTAAATCGGTTTGCGTTTCCCAACAGCCTTCAAATCGAAGAAAAAAATCGTCTTTTCCCAAAATAGGATCATGTGTTTCAATGATAAATGGACTAATTTCTTTTCGATTGGATTTCAGTGTTGAATTGGATACGGCCTGAGAAGAATAAAGACACCACACACTGGTTGTACAAATTCGTTGTCAATGGTGAGCTCAAATATGGCGCTTCGATGGTGTGGCTATCCAATGCAGGTCATATTTAAATCGACTAAGCCACTGTCGGTGATGGTATTGGGCTTGATGTTTTGCAAGCGTTACACAATTCTTGTATTCGTACACGTATTTTTTGTATTCGTTATTGTCACGGGTGTGATTGTGTTCAAATTCTTTGAAACCAAAGAGTCGAAACCGGTTAAAAAACCAAGCAGCGACAAAATTGACGGTGATATGTCAGCAGCGTTTGGTTAAAATATCTGTCTTAGATAAGATATTAAGATAAGATAAGATAGATAGTATCTATTATCTTATCTAGATAATTTTTCAAAAATGTCGAAAGTCTTATCTATTATCTTTTCTGTTTTTTTTTCGACTATCTATCTGTCTTTTTTTAGATAAAAATTAAGATTTTCATCAAGTAATTATATCAGAGATTCGATCGATACCAAATGATGATTCACACTACAGATTTGTCCTACTTGTTAAATAAATATACACATCCCATTTATAGAAAAAAAATACACTTTAAAATCAGGGTAAATCACGTAAATCTTCCAACTGAAATTTTTTGTTGATTGGGATATTTTTCAAAAATTAAAGTTTTTTGGCCAATTTTTCGTGCATTTTTCACAAAACAAAAAAAAAATTGAAGAAAATTCATCAAATTGCCATATGAATAAAGAATGATATATTTCTAAAAAGATTATCTTAAGATAGCTCAAAGATATCTATCTTTTTCGGAAAAAAGATTTAAAAAAAGATAAATTTAAAAAAGATATCTAGATAGATTTGGACATTTTTGAGATTATCTCGTTTTTTACTAGATATTTTTTCTGGGACAGAACCAAACGCTGTATGTCAGCAGCAATGGTTCAAATATTAGGAACCGGTTTGTGGGAGTGCTTGGTGCTATTCAAGACAAAATGCGAGCAGTTTCCAAGCCAACGTTCCGACAATTGATGTTCAACATGTGCCTTTGGGTCTGTGGATTCCTTTTAGTTGCCATTTTAGTGACTCGCGAATTTTTGGACGTTATCCCATTCATTGGTCGTAATCCAGAAGTCATTTGGATCTGTACGGAAATTCATCTCCGTTATATTATCAATCATTTTCTTTGGAAATCCGTCGACACCGATGCAATAGTTCGGTGCCGCTTTGGTATTCTCAGGACTACTAGCTGATGCTGCTTTTGGCAAGAAAAAGAGCAAAGCGGTGGTTGAAGATACACAAGATACAGATGTCGAAAATGCTGAAAAAACGGAGAATGTAGAAGGAGATGATAACAAGAAAGACGATAACTCAATTCCATGAGGACGGGAAAAAAACGAACCGAAAAAAATATTCAAGAATGTCTTCATAATAAAATGAAATATTTTTTGAAGAAATTGAACAGTTTTTACATACGGTAGAAACGCCGTTTTAAGTACTATTTCTGACTGTGATTCCTCTTATTTTACTATCTACTGATATGAGGTGAGTTAAAAAATATTAGTCATTTACTCTAATGTTGATAATAATAAGCTTCTTTTGGACTTATTGCATTGTCACGCGATAATGCAGACAAAATACTCAGAAAAAATCGGGATATTTTATGATTCACTTTTCCACGACATAGGTTGAATTCCAGCATGCTTTTTTTGCGCGATTCCACTTTGACCTGGACGAAGCATGTACGGTAGTCTACTGTCGCTAGATAAGCAAGTGACTATATAAAATGTAATTTCTATTAGCACGACATGAAATGTAGAGCTACTACTCTGGTTTTTTTTTTGGTTGGTCAGCAAAGCCGATTTTTTGAATCAATGATACTAAACAACTCATGGAAAAAAATTGTTCAGGCTTTACACGCCGCTTATCGTAAAACATTAAAGTGAAGCTAACCGTACAAAATCAGAGCGAAGCAAAGTTCAGCGATTTTTTTCCTAATCAAATTGATATGAGTAATTTTGTGTTTGCGCATCTTAACAAAGTACTCCATTATCAGTTGTAGCATTGCAACGAGAATGTGCAATTTCTCGGTTAATATCAATGCCAACATACATGTGAAGCTCAATAGATTAGGCAAATCGAATGAGCACAATGCTCGAATCTAGTAACAGTTTTCAGATTGATGGCACACGCATTTTTTGATGGAATATTTTCTTCTAAGTTAGATTTGGTTATTATAATTCATAACCAATTTCGATATTCTTTTTCATTTTTTCCTCAAATCTAAATCTTCTACACTCTAACATTGTTTGTATACATTTATTTTTTCTCCTAACCATTTTCCGCTATTGTCCTCTTAATGGCATTAAATTGCTTTAAACAAAATCACCTCAAAATCATGTTTTGCTTCCCATGTGGATGCCATTGTCCTCAAAATACGACGTATTCAACTCCTTCAAATAAAATACACGATAGCCACGTCGTAATCCAATATTCACTAATAAAAATTTAAGTAAATCGCACATATCGTGTCAAGTTCAATAAATTGCCTGTACGATTTTGCTTGTAAAATTCTTTTTAATCGCATCATGCTCAATGAGTGTCGCTCATGTGAATAGCGTCTTTGACATTGAATTATTGCACAATTCAATGTGACGAAGTAGTGCCAATCCAAGTATCTCATTTTGCGTGCAACATTCCTATTTTGTCATTCATTTTGATCCAGTCGATTTTGATTGTATTAGTTTTGAAAAAGTCTTTTCTTCAATTTAACTCATTCTTGCAAATTCATCCATTTATATTTTTGAGAATCTAGTCAGATCTAGTAGTTTTCTTATTCACAGTCACAGTCGAAAATGCCATTTATATGGTTGTGCAATTGTTCACGTGCATGCCCACAAATCTCAGAAGAGAGAGAACGGCTTGGTTGAATTTTAACATAAATGTAGGCCAAGTGGGAAATTTATCTCCCGTGTGCATGTCTGATTGTGCATACTGAATTTACTGCATTGCATCTTATATCTAACAACGTCATTACATAAAGCAATCTCTCAATTAATTCAATTCACTGTAAATTGCAAGTCAAACAGAATATTTCAGTTTGAATGAGTCGCACTGCCCGTCTCAATCATTTCACGATCTTATTCTTTATTTATTTAAGTATCAAAATCTTTTTTCCACTTTCAGTGTTTCAACATGTTTTTCTCTTTTTTAACCGCCCTTCTATTTTTTGGATCAAATATATTTGATTCAGGTATCTAGTTTTGATTTTGTGATTAATTCCCTTTTTGAGTAAAATAATTTATCCAATCCGATTAAAGGCGCTGAAATTGAAGGAGGAAGATGGAACTCGGTAATAGTTGATTGTATTAGAAAACAAGCTTATTATGGAGTTTGGAAAAATGCCCTTGATGAAGCCGTCAAGGAAGGTAAAACCATTTTTTTTTAAGTCGGAATAAAATATAATTTGAAATGACTTTAGGCGATGTGAAAGGAACAGAATGGATCGCTAAATATTGTGTTAAAGACCCAAAGGATTTGGAAGACCCTCTTTTAAAAATGGCTGGATACAGTATGACTATTACAATTTAATTTATATAGCAAATGATCATGATTTGTTTTTACCTCCGACACACAGCTCACACAGATTATGCACGTAAAGGTCTTATCGTCAAGATTCTCATTGACAATGGGGTTAATGTTAGTGCTAGAAGTTCATACACACAACAGACTGCACTTCATTTGTCTACTCACAGTAAGTCTCATCAATAATTTGGTTATCCCGATCACGAATATCAATTTCAATTTTAACATTTAAAGAATGGGGCCACGATATAGCAAAAGTATTGATTGAGCACGGTGCCGATGTGAATGCTCGCGATACTTATGGGAATAATACACCTCTCCATCTTGCTGCTTCATATGGAAAATTTGGTAAATACTTGACATTTCGAAGAAATCAGTGATAAGGATCCGGCATGAAGCGCGGAAAATATTCATAGAATTCCTTCTTAGGTTTGCCAAACATAATTAAGCTTTTGATTGAAAACGGTGCCGATGTGAACGCCAAGAATGAAAGGGGCGATGTTCCGCTTCATGAAACAGCATATATCAAAGGTATGTGATTACAATAAAAAAAAGGATCTAATGATTCAGACTATTCTTGGTCTTTTTTCTTTCCAGAAACAGACGATTTGGCTAGGGCAATCATTGAAAATGCCAAAGATATTGATCTTAACGTCAAAAATTACCGCGGGGAGACTCCTTTAACTGCAGCTATTAGATGGCGTAATTGACATTGTTTCTCCTTTGTTTTGGTCACTGAATCATCTAATTTATTTTGCTTTTGAAGATTCACCAAAAGTTGCAAAACTTCTAATTGAACGTGGGGCCGACGTTGATGAATTGGATGAAAATGGAAACACTCTTCTTCATCAGGTTTTAAATAATCACAATATTGGCCGTGAGGCCACTAAGGTGGTCGTCAAAGCACTCATTGATCATGGCGTTGATGTGAATGCTCAAAATAATGATGGAGACACACCATTACATTTCACACAGGAATTTTGGGGTAATGCCATTATAATTTGGTATTCTTGTAGTGGAACCCAAAGGGATATTGCAACTTTTTTGACCAGAAAAAACGCCATATTACGTCGTGCCCGTAAATTATTTTACTGTAAATTTGGATGGTAGAGCTTCAACAAAAGTTCAACACTATGCATAAACTTGGAAAGAGCTTGATAAACTTGATGAAATACATATATTTTATGGTCGTTGCAATACCCCTATGGTGGAACCATGGCAGATGGATAAGTGTTCTACTCAATATGGCTAATTTATTATCAAACCATAGTCTTGTATTGTAGATTTCTCCCAATTTTTCGCAACAAGTTTAAATAATAATCCATCAATTTCAAAAATTTCTATCAGTTGAAAAAGAAATAGCCGATATGCTCATCCGAGGTGGCGCAAATATCAATATCCGAAATAAGAATGGAACATTACCTCATCATCATTTCAGTGATGATGAACTAAAATTATTAAATTTTTTTGCTGACCTAAAAGAAGGTAATGTTTGCACTGTTTTTGCAGAGAGACAATACTTTCAAAGAACTTTTCTTGTTGATTTGGCCAAATTAGACGCTGCTAGAGCTTTGAATGAGAGTGGAATCGACATAAATGCTGGAAATAATGAGGAAAGGACAGCACTTTTTGGGGCGATTGACTATAGTAATTGTTGGGCGATTTCCATTCAAATTACAAGCAATGAATTTGATTTTCATTTCAGATCAAACGGACGCTGCTCGAATTCTCCTTGAAAACGGCGCCGATGGCAATAATGTACTATATAAAGGCCTTACTCCAATTCAGTATGCTGCTTATTGTTGCGGTAATTACTTTTATTTCAACCTCAATTTGGAGATTATTCTTGACTCAGGCTCTTGCAGGTAATGCTGATATCGTAAGGGTTCTTATCGAAAACGGTGCAAACGTTGATGCTAGTAATAATACGAGAATGACGGCACTTGCTTGGGCAGCTGAGAAAGGTATCGGGCTATTTTCTGAATTCGACCATCATCTTAGAACTATCCACACATGTTTACGACTAACCAGTTTTAATAATTTATAACAAATGAATAAATTGAATTTCTTCTAGGATATGCAAATGTTGCCAAAGTCCTTATTGAGCACGGTGCAAATATAAATTGCAGAGGTTATAATCAGGAGACCCCACTACATATTGCAGTAAAAAAGACACGAAAAAGTTCGTCTTCCTCCGGTAACGCTCATTATGTTCTGCTTAACTAAAAACTAGACTTAAACATAATGTGCACAAAACAATTAACCAAGCCTTCATTTAATTGTGCATCTAGAACAAATTGACATCGTTAAAACTCTCATTGAGATGGGCGCTGATTTGGATGCTGAAGACGAAGATGGAAGGACACCACTTTTTTTCGCTCGATTTTGGGGTACAAAAATCCAACATTGCATTTGATATTAGTTCGAATTTATTTTGTTTTTACATAACAATGAATATATATTTTTACCTATGTGTAGCCTACAGAAACGACAAAATTGCCGCTTTTCTAAAAGAGGCTAAGGTTAAGCGGAATGAAAAGAGACAGTGACACACGAATCTGAATACAAAATAATGTGAAAGTGCACATCCTTTAATATTATATAACATAAGATATAAGAATAAGATATTTTGCTAATTAGACTCACATCGGTTTCTTGTTTGCACAAATTGTACAATTTGCACAATAAAATCTAGTTTGAAAGGATTTTCATAAATTTCGCCACTTCACGTTCGAATTATTTTAATTGCCTGAACCAAATCTGAATTTGCCAACAAGGTAGTACAACGGAAAGATATTAAATAAACTGATTAAACGCTAAATAAGAAACATTCAAAATAAATACCATTATCCAAACATAATTGCTTCAATTTTTTCTAAAATTACGACTGAAAAAATGAAAATGATTTTTTGGTGCTAGAAAAAGAAAACCTTTATTTGAATTGCACACAATTGAGGCTGTGAGAATGAAATGGCAATACAGGAATAAACATTCTGAAAGCAGAAATAAACATTCTGCATCAAGAAAAAAAATTCGCAAAAATGAATCATGAGTTCTGAATATGCAAAAGTGAAACATGAATTTACATGGCCAGTAGACTGCTCCAAAAAAAAAAACATTGAGATATTCAAGCTCCCCGATCGGTTTTCGAAAATTGGCCTCAAAAAAATAGGTTTGGCATCAAAAAATCGAAAAACGTAGAAATGAAACCACTTTCTCAAAATACATGAAATTTTTGAGTAAGGTAGTTTTGGAAATCATTTTAGATTGCAACTTTTCGACCTAAATCATTTTTCCAGCCAATTTTCGGCCAAAACTAGTGATGGTGTTTTATTTGGCTCGTCAATATCTACAACTTTTACCAAGACATCGGCCCTTGAAAAGGCATTCTGGGCCAGTTACAGTGTAAAATGACCGAAAAAATGACAACTTTTCGGCATTTTTTGCATTTTTCGCTCTACTGGCCACCCAGGTGGTAGACTTTTGTTCAGTTTTGGACTTGTGTCGTGTAGCCAAAACCTGTATAAAAATTTTGGTACTTGTCAGATTGCGATTTGGATGGAATTTGGCGACAATTGATTCACACATATAAGACAAATTTCTGGCCAAAATGAGCAAATCACAAACATGAGCTTCGGTTTGACAGGTAAAAGCAAATGATTTCTACCTTTTCTGCCTTTGAACATCTGGTGTGGTCCCTTGCGAACATTTTGGATACTTACATGACCAAATAGAGTAATGTTTTCACATATTTCTGGCCTCGTATTCGATTTCAACTCCCAAAAAATCGACTTTCGACCAAAAAATCCTTAAGTATGGGCTTTTTAGGGATGCTGTCTTGGTGAAATGTTATTTTTTCTCGAAAATATGGAGAGTCTACGCAGACAAAAACTCTTAAAGTAGACTTTTTAAGGTACCTCCCGAACAAAAGTTACGTTTTTCATGCATTTTTCTATGAAATTATCATTTTTTTTCGGGAAATACCCCAAAAATCATTTATAAGAGCTTCTGTATAAATAAATTCCCCATATTTTCGAGAAAAATTAACATTGCACCAAGACACCACCCCTAAAAAGCCTATACTCAAGGATTTTTTGGTCAAAAGTCGATTTTTCGGGAGTTGAAATCGAATATGAGGCCAGAAATATGTGAAAACATTACTCGATTTGGTCATGTAGGTACTTAAAATGTTTGTAAGGGATCATACTAGATGTTTAAAGGCAGAAAAGGTAGAAATCGCTTGCTTTTATTTGTCAAATCGAAGCTCGTAATCGTGATTTGCTCATTTTGGCCTGAAATTTGTCATTTATTTCTGATTCAATTGACACCGAATTTCATCCAAATCGCAATCTGACAAGTACCAAAATATTTGTACAGGTTTTGGCTACACGACACAAGTCAAAAACTGAACAAAAGTTTACCGCCTGGGTGACCAGTAGAGCAAGAAATGCAAAAAATGCCGAAAATTTGCCATTTTTTCGGTCATTTTACACTGTAACTGGCCCAGAATGCCTTTTCAATGGCTGATGTCTTGGTAAAAGTTATAGATATTGACGAGCCAAATAAAACACCATCACTAGTTTTGGTCGAAAATTGGCTGGAAAAATGATTTAGGTCGAAAAGTTGCAATCTAAAATGATTTCCAAAACTACCTTACTCAAAAATTTCATGTATTTTGAGAAAGTGGTTTCATTTCTACTTTTTTCGATTTTTTGATGCCAAACCTATTTTTTTGAGGCCAATTTTCGAAAACCGACCGGGGAGCTTGAATATCTCAATGTTTTTTTTTTTGGAGCAGTCTAATGGCCAGCATAGGAGGTTCATGGTTCACTTTTGCGTATTCAGAACTCATGATTCACTTTTGTGAATTTTTTTTTCTTGGTGCGCTTCAGAATGTTTATTACTGTATTGCCATTTTCATTCTCACAGCCTCAATTACAAAATTAATAAAAAGATTCCAATTTGATTTTTTAATAAAAATTATTCAGAATCTATTGATTCTAAAAGTCATATCATTATTGGAAAAAATCTCAAAACGCGGTTAAACTGAAGTGACTGTGGACTTGAGATTCTGTGGTCTATAACTGATATCATTGATTGCTAGGAATTTGGTTCGAAATTCGAACTTCGAATTTGCAAATTGAAATTTTCCCCTAGATGCACATTGCACAGTCCATTGAACGTCACTTGTCAGACTATCGTCCCGTGTTATATTGTAAGAAAAGTAATAGTAAATAGTATTACAAAAGTAGAAACATACGTTTCTGGATGGCTCAACATCTCAGCATTTCGTAAGCAGCGGATATATCCCGGCAAATCGACGACGCAAATCACTGTATAAGTGGCATACGTTGATGTGCTCAGCTACATCGATTACACACAAACAGAGAGATGCAGAGTTTGTGTGTGGTTGATGCAGCTGTGCACAGCAACGCACACCACTTATACAGTGACTTGCGTCGTCGATATGCTGGGATATATCCGCTACATACGAAATGCTGAGATGCTGAGCCATCCAAAAACGTATGTTTGCAAAAGTATACGCAATGCATATTACATTATTCAAATTTTCAATCAGGCACACGTCATTAAAATATAAAATTAACCCTTGCGCTGTGTTTTAATCATGACACTTGTGTAGAATTTATAGTGCGCAACTATATCATTTGGACACAATACAAACAATTGGTGATATTCAACTTCTTATAAATAAAAGCCATGACCTTTGATTATTATAAAACAGCAACCATTGAGAATGAAGGCTACCTTCCATGGACATTTGCCTACACTCCATTTGATTATTTACCTCATTTAATGGAACGAGAAAAAAACTCTGTTAATTCAATCTAATTATGTGTGTTATAATCAAACTACAAACTGCATATTGCTGTATGTGAGCCTATGCTCAGTGTTCAGCTCCCAAGCGATGCTCTTTAGTTATATCGTTCGATGGGAATGACGCTGACAATTTTTTGATTTTCCATTTGTTGTATTGCATTTTGTTCTCTTTCACGTCGAGCAGCCCAATACCAACGCAGAGTTCCGTAATAAATTAGTTCGATAAGGCTCAATACGGACATTCCCAAGAACAAACCCATCAATCCGCCGCAAACGGCCAAAAAATCGGAGTAGGTGTACACTTCTATTCGTTTGATAGTTTCCACTTGTTGATCATGGAAAAATATTGCCAATCTTGCCTTTTGATTGCTATGAGCAAAAATGCGGAAGAAAAAAAAAATACGAAATTAAATTAGAAAAGGAGCTAAAATCCAAATTCATTTTTGATTGGGAATCGATTGACTTAATCGATGAACTTAGAGCTACTAGACTAGATTTTAATATCACTATCAGAAGAACTGATCATTTTCCTTGCCGTGCTCACCTAAGTTCGGGCAAGTCCGTTTTATTCATGGTTGCCATGTCGAATTTCACACGGTCTATATCTCCCTGGTATTCAACTAATAAAAAAGTGATTGAGGAAACAACCCATTGAAAAAAGAAATATCACATTATAGTTACAATTTGTATCATACAAAATAGTCACTCACTTGTGGTGCACGTTTGTAAACAGTTGCAGTTGTCACGAAATGCTCTAGCAAATCGGCTGGTGGATAGATTCTTTTCAGCCTCCTTGTAGCATTTGATTTTAGCTCCGCCACAAATTGGGGTGTTTTTATCTCCTGATGATTTCAAATGCAATCATTAAGAGCAATGGACAAATTGAAGAAGTTGAATCGTTCAACTTATTCATTTGAATAAATTTTAACGTTTAAAATGTTTTACTCAAAGAGGAATTTTCCATAAGAAAATCAAATTTTCATCAGAAATCAAAATTTGATTATAAGTCCGAACTAATTATATTAAATTCATTCAATTTTCGATGAAAATCAATCAAAATTTCATACTTGGCATGGAGAATTTCACACAACCGCATTGAATTTTCGTGAAATTCGCCAAACACTCATCGTTACAATTGTTCTGTGTGTAAATTCTGAAGAAGTGTAAAGAACGTTCCTCAAGAAAAACGCATTGACGTAGATTGGGATTATAGCTCCGGAGTGCATGTGAAGTAATCTGAAAATGGTCAAATCGATTATTTTCATCCAATACGTATATGGGGAATATTTAACGATCAAAAGCTCTATGAAACGGTCCCTTACGGTCATCTTTGGTTTGATTGTAATCAAAGTGTCTTCTGAAACTGGAACTCGAAAAGACATTCGTGACATTCTCAATGCTTCACCCGGTGGAGTCAAGATCACTTTGAATCCTTGATCATATCCTCGGCATTGATATTCGAAATCTTTTTTAAATGGTCAAGCATAAATGTATTGAGTGTTAGACTATTGCATTGAAATAAACGATAAGTTAATGTAACATTTGAAGCCATACCAAAATCATCAAGCTTAAGGGAAATTTCAAAGGCTGCACTTCGTCCAGAATCTACAACACGAATCGGAAACTCTGTATCCATCGATCCATCGTCATAACCAGATTCTGGATTCCAATGCGATTGATTCAAACTGCGTTTTACAATCATCATTCCCGGCGCCATACTCCAATAAAAAAAAATCAATATTAATTGAAAATTTCAATTAGTTAATTGCATGACTCACTATTCGGTGTATATATCATGCGAGTTGAGCGAATTGAATGTGAAGCAAAGTCCTTCTTCGGTAAACACGGGCTCAATAAGCCTGGTGCAATTATCCACTTTGCTTTGCCACCAACATTGGTCCATGGTTTCATTGAATGTTGGTGCCATTTC